TTCTGACAGTGTAGCAGCATTAGTCATCAGTAGCAGCATTAGTCATCAGTAGCAGTATTAGTCATCAGTAGCAGTATTAGTCAGCAGTAGCAGTATTAGTCAGCAGTAGCAGTATTAGTCATCAGTAGCAGTATTAGTCATCAGTAGCAGCATTAGTCATCAGTAGCAGTATTAGTCATCAGTAGCAGTATTAGTCAGCAGTAGCAGCATTAGTCATCAGTAGCAGCATTAGTCATCAGTAGCAGCATTAGTCAGCAGTAGCAGCAGTGGTCATCAGTAGCAGTATTAGTCAGCAGTAGCAGCAGTGGTCAGCAGTAGCAGCATTAGTCAGCAGTAGCAGCAGTGGTCATCAGTAGCAGTATTAGTCAGCAGTAGCAGCATTAGTCAGCAGTAGCAGCATTAGTCAGCAGTAGCAGCAGTGGTCAGCAAACGTTCACGGAAGAATCTGTCAGAAAAAAGCTGCGGAGCTTTAACAGCGACATATTTGTGCACAAATAAAGTTGGGTAACGGGTCTCTGATTTTTTCCCCACAGTGTAGATCCCAGCAGGACACCCTGCAGAGGAAACTCATTTCAGCTGCTTGTATCTGTGATCTCGTTCTTTCGGTCACTACCCAAAGCTCCTGACCATAGATGAGGGTAGGAACGTAGACCGACCTGTAAACCGAGAGCTTTGCCTTCTGGCTCAGCTCTCTCTTCATCACGACAGACCGGTACAACGCCCGCATCACTGACACAGCACCAATCTGCCTGTCGATCTCCCACTAGGGCTTGACCCTAAACAATAAATATCTTATATCTGGCAACATATATGGTGATTTTTGGCCTTTCCAGAAACCTGCAGCAGACAGTTCAGCCTCCATTGTGAAGAGTTACATCCAATATGGTGAATGCACAAACCTTCACTTGGATCAAGTGTGAACTTGGTTTGTTCCTACATGTTGAAAAGGTTGAGAAGCACAAACAGCACTCTGCTATTCATCATTGGTACTGGTCTTCATCTGCTTGTGAAAAAGCAGAAAAACAATGGTTTGCAGCCACATGTGGTGAGTGGTTTTAGACTGCTGTGGGGGATGGGGTTCCCAAAAACCTCCACTCTGAAGCCTGGATTCAAAAAGCTTTGGTTTCTGTGAAAAAAGCATGGTTGTCTTGGACATGGACAGCCGAGCTGCAGCAGCAATGCTACAGTTTGTGTAAAGTGGACCTTGTAAACTCACATGAAGCTTAATCCCAATTATTTCCCATTTAATTTTTGTAGGGTCTTTGTTGGTCTGGCTCTCAGTGAGATGTTTTGGTCACATTCATGAAAGTGAAAGTTAAAGGGAAAGGGACCGGGTATCAAGCTCAGTGTTCCATTGTAAGTTTTATGAAGCTGAAATCTGACATCCTACTCTGTTCAAGTTCTTGTGACGGCTATAAACGTCTTGTAAAGAACGCTAATTTTCAGAGTAAGGGGTCTCTGCAGTAGGTTTTGTCCTGTGGGCGGAGACGTCCCTGCTCATGATTGGCGGAGGTCTTAATGTGGGCGGAGACGTCCCTACTCATGATTGGCGGAGGTCTTAATGTGGGTGGAGGCGGCCCAAATCGTGATGGGTCGGATTGACGGTGGGGTTTGAGGAGGCTAGAGAGGCAGCGGGGAGTAGCTTGATTGAGTCGGGCAGGAAGCAACATGTTTTTTAAGATAAATTTTAGTCATAACTTGGGAAAGGAAAGTGCTAGCTGTACATAATTTGAATGTCATACATGTGAAAGGATGTGTAATACGGCTCGGTTAAAACCTCCCTAACCAGCCTGTAAAAAGATAGCTAAAAATCAATATTTTTTACAGGCTGGTTAGGGATGTTTTAACCAAGCTGTATTGTTACACATCCTTTCACATGTACGACGTTCAAATTTTGTACAGCTAGCACTTTCCTTTCCCAAGTTATAACTAAAATTTATTTTTAAAAAAACGTTACTTCCTGCCCGACTCGACCAAACCCCCACTGCCTCCAGCCTCAAACCCCACCGTCAATCCGAGATCTCTTGGGCCATCTCCGCCCACATCAAGACCTCCGCCAATGACAATTTGGGCCATCTCCTCCCACAGGACAATACGTTCTGCAGAGACCCCTACTTGAATTTTCAAGGTTTGATTAAACTAACTACAACTCCATTTTTCATCATGAAATGATCTGACATGAAAGGAAGAAGACGATATGCATTTCTTTCAGAATAACTAAGCCTTTAATTTATATCTGCATTATGATTTTCTCAGATTCATGCTTGGCCATCAACGCCACCATCACTCCATCACCCTTCACAGTCGCCAAGGTGGGTCAGAATGTCACTCTGACCTGCATTGTGTCTCAGAGGCACCGCAACACAGCCTTACCAGTGGTTAAATGGATTTTTCTACCAGCAAGCAAGACTCAAGAAGAGGACGAACTCCTCATCGCTCGCATCAACATGAGGAAAGCCCGTTTTTATGGCAACTATACAAAGAGTTTCCAGTGGCCCAAGTTCAGGTTGACGGTAGTGAAGCAGGGGAAGATCTTTGAGCTGCTCATCCTGGATGTGTCTGAAGGGGACTGGGGACTCTACATGTGCCGAGTGCAGGAGTTTAAAAAGCACAAAGACCACTGGAAGGCTTCATCCAACTTCACAGCTGTTACTGAGCTCAGAGGTGAGCAGATAAAACCTTTTCAATTGGGAAGAAAGGTTTACAAACAATTAACCTGTTAACATTTGGGCATAAAATACCATAAAACGCCTTAAAAAGTACACACAAATTTAATGAAGTACTGCTTTTGAACCCTTTAGAGTAAATTCACAAACTTGGTTTTTTTTTAAAGCTAACAATCTGAATTTTTAACTTCAGCAGTCATGTTCTTTGTAACTGTAACTTGTATTTAGTATATTGCAGTAAAATACACAAAAATCAAGATATTGTTCTCTCTAAAAAAAATTTTTATTAGTAAAGTATCACAGAACATGAAGGGAATGAGATATGAATAAACAACTTTTACTGGGCTAAAAATATTAATTCCCAACTATTACCAGTTCAAAATAGGTAACAGTAGCTTAAAATATGAATATTTGACACATAGTACAACCCAGGATGTATCATTTGCATATTTGTACACATTTACAGTACGTCCAAACTGTACACTTTGTCTAAAACACTGTAATTTCTAAATGCTTCAACACAGGGACTTCACTCTGGGCTCAAATTAAAGATAAAAAACCCCACAAAACATATTCTACCATCCATATTTACTCACAGCATGATTAAATTAAAAAATATATATTAATGTTCAGAAATATTTGGACCAATTGGAGTACATTCAGCCAAATTTCCACCAATAAACAGCCAAAACAAGAATAAACAAATATACTGTATCCTTATTTATTTCAAAGCATTAACATTCCACACAGCTTATAAAACCACCAGCAGTGAAAAAATATTTGTTTTTCACCCACATTTGATGCATATTTGTCCTCAAATATGACAAAATTAGCGACTCAAAATGTCCGACCGGAAGTGTTTTATCCAAACAAAATACTTCTCCTGGCCACAAAAATCACTCTTCCTTATCTTGAAGCACTCGAAACACTTAATGACAAATATATTTTCATTTTATCAGCATGTTTAGTCAGCTAACTGGTCAAAAGATGATGGAAAACAATGTTTTCCTGTGAGCGTAGCTTCCTTCATTAGCGTAGCAGGACTGTCTAAATATGGCGATCCACTCCGTGTTTACCTTGTCCCGTCACTTAACAAAGTTCCCACCCCCTCAATATAAACACCAAATGAAAGGTACGGTGATTGGCTACACAGCTGTGGCATCAGAACGAAGCTCGGCACTGACTGGTCGTATCTACACTCAATCAAGCCCAGGATGATGGAAACCTGAAGTTGGTCACTTCTCATATATTATTGGCTCTGGACAGCCGAAACTTGAACCCAGTTGGTCAAATGAGGTGTCAATCGAAAGAGGAGGGCCTAGACGTCCATTTTGATGCATTGCACACAGACACAGGTTGAATAGAAACACAGAACGGCATTTCAAAATAAAACAAAACAAAAACGACACACGGGCAATTTGAACAACTTCAGTTTGGGCTAAAAAGACATTGTATTTACTCAAATACAGACATGGAAAAAAAATATCTTCCCACAATAATTAAAAAAATCTGTTGTGATTGGAGAACCACAGCTCTTGTTTTGTCTCATTAGTTCCAGAAACCAGCCCTATGCCCTAAACTAGCAGGGAGCAATCCTGGTCCTTGATGGCCACCATCTTGCAAGTTTTCTGTTTCCCTATTTAAACACACCTAATTTAGTGACTGAATTAAAATTTTAATTTCTGCAGAAGCCAGTTCATCATCCATTCCTTCAAACAGGTGTGTTTGATCAAAGAAACCTCTAGAATAGTGGCCCTCAAGGACCAGAATTGCCCACCCTGCCCTAGACACTTGGGTAAAAATAGGGACAGTATTCTTGTTAAGTGTAAAATCAGCAGTAAATTTGAGGTCTTGTAGGGGAGCTTCAGCTGCGAGCAACAATAGTAAATGCTAGATTCTGTTTTGACATATGTAGCGAGTTGTTAGGACGGAAACAGTTTTTGTCAATTTGGATTTAAATTCAGATTATTTATAGTAACTTTTCTTACTGCAGAAATAAGATTATCAATTAATTATTTATTAGTTAATTATTATTAACCAGGTCGTTCTGCAAACATTTACATGTAAAGCCTGATTAGGTACATCAGCCCAACAAGGTTGGAGACATTTGTCTGTCCCGTCTTGGACCTCTGAAGTCCAGTCAGATCTGACCCTGGTACGACTTGGTCCACCATCACAAACAGCCTTATCAAAGCCCGTCGAGTCGGCACAAACTTCTCGTTTGCAGTAATCAAAAATTACATTTTCCCAAAATGGTTCTGGTCCATCTCAGGTTCAGAAGCTCTCCAGCTTCCTCAGGAAATCTCAACTCAGCACTCACTGAAAACCAAAACAGGGCTGTTTTTAAATGAGAATGGAATTTATGAAACATTTCAGTCTGGTTTCAAACACTTACACAACACTGAAACGGCTCTGGTGAGGGTTTACAGTGATATTCTTCTGTTATGGTCAGTTTGTGGTCCTGGTACTTCTGGACATGACTGCAGCTTTTCATACTGTTGACCACAGTATCCTGTTGTCACGTTTCAACACTGGGTTGGGATCACAGGAGCAGCACTAGATTGGTTTTGTTCCTACCTAAGTCGCAGATGTTTTAGTGCTAATGTTGGAAACTTTTTTCCTGCCTCAGAGCCTCTTTCCTGTGGGGTTTCACAGGGATCGATTCTTGGACTGCTTTTGTTTTCTTTGTACCTGCTTCCGTTAGGGTCTGTTCTAAGGAAACATGGTCCGTCTTTTCATTGCTGTGCTGATGATTGTCAGATCTACCTGCCCTTGACACCTGATAATAGAGCTTGCTCTACCCAGTTGTTATTAAAATGTCTTGATGACATTAAGGATTGGATGGCTGCAAATTTTTTAAATTTTAATGACAGGAAAACTGAATTTATTGCATCTAGCCCTTGTGCTACTGCTGACACCTTTCCATTTAAATTAGGCTCTCTTCAGTTGTATTTGAAGCAGTCTGTTGTAAATCTGGGAATGATTTTAGATTCTGATTTGAAGTTAAACAAGCAGATCAACTCTGTTTTGCAGAAAAGTTTTTTTCAGCTAAGACAGATAGCCAAGCTCAAGCGAATACTGACTAGACCTGACCTTGAGAGAATAGTACATGCTTTTATTACTAGTCGAATAGATTATTGCAATGCACTTTATGTTGGGATCAGTCCAGTCTCCCTTTCACGTCTTCAACTTGTTCAGAATGCTGCAGCTCGTCTTATAACAGGATCTCGTAGGTTTGAGCATGTGTCTTATCTTCCCTTCACTGGCTCCCAGTGCGCTATAGAATAGATTTTAAAATTCACTGGCTCACTTACAAATGCCAGCATGGCCTTGCACCCTCCTATCTCTCTGATCTACTTCAACCATACAGTCCTTCTCGGGCATTAGGATCTTCTGATCAGCTGCTTTTGGTCGTTCCTAAAAAAACCAGGCTGAAACTGAGGGGAGATCGAGTTTTTTCAGTTGTGGCTCCCAAGTTTTGGAACAATCTACGCCCCAATGTTGGACAGTCCTCGTCACTTCCTGTTTTTAAATCTTTATTAAAAACACACCTGTTTTCTCAGATTTTTGATTAACTTTGAGTTATGTATTTGTTGTTGGTGTTTTATTTCTTATATTTTTAAGAATGTTGTTTGTTTTTATATTGACCTTTGCCTTGTGTTCAGCACTTTGGTGACAACTTGTTTTTTAAATGTGCTTTATAGAACTTGATGATGATGATGATGATGATGATGATGATGATGATGATTTTCCAGTTTTCGCACTCAGCGTACAGTGTGACTAGTCATAACAAAGAATACCAGGGGTCAGTTTTATAAAACTGGCGTACGCACAATTTGAGCCCAGAAACTTGCGTACGCCACTTTTTACGCCAAGGTTGTGATTTATAAAATCCAAACTTGACGTGAAAATGTGCGGTGCCTCGCGCCAGCTCTGACACATGTGTACGCTCATTTTGGAGACGTGAAACTGCGACACAGATGGTGAAGTGAGGAATTAGAGCCACACTGTGTAATGATCACTGTCAGATATTTAATTTACCTTCAGAATCAGACTTAGATTTTTATTCAACTTTATCATCAGCTTTMTTAACAGTAATATTTATGCTGCTGCTGCTGAGCCATGAGGACCTTTGAAATAAAAAAACTTAAATCTTAGATAAAAGTTCCCGTGTGCAAATCCCAGACAGCAAAAGTCACGCTTTGGTTACACGAGCAGGGCGCATCACCTCGCCAGTGTTTGTCACGCGCGGGTGTGTGTGTGTGTGTGTGTGTGTGTGTGTGTGTGTGTGT